GCCTGATGTCCTTCTCCAGGGACTGGCATCTCCTGATAACATGTTCAAAGTACACGAGAAAAAGGCTCAGCATCCCTGCCTCGAAGGAGAACTCTGGTTGTACTTCTTCCACAAGAGATATGTTTGTTCTTTTGACAGTCCATGGTACTTTCAATATTATTCACCAGCATCACAGTTCAAATATCGATTTGAAAATAGTATTGGGAGATTGACAGTTCTCTATTTACCTCTTGAATTTCTGCAACTTACATATAATTTCTCTTTCCCTAAGGTTAGTCAAAACCTAAAACATAGGAACCTTTATTAAACCTTTATTAAACAAAAATATCAAAACATGAAGCTACTGTTTCTTGACATCTCCTCCGGCTAGGTCTTCACACTTCTGAAGGCAGTGTTTCCGTCTCTTTAACCCTTTCCCAAAGGATGCTAGACTCTTCTATTCGCATCACATCAGAATGGCAAATGTGGTATATCCTCAAGGGACTCAAATCAGGTTTTTTTGGGTTCTTTGAGCGTGAGGAACAAAAATAAGTCTGCAGTGGAAAGGTCAGGGTTGTTGAGTGGAGAGGATAAGATTTCCCATAGAAATTCTGTTAAGAAAGCCCTTGTTAGCCTCAAAAAACACACAGGTGCATTGTCATATGGGAAAAATATGCCTCAGCCCAACTTTCCTGGCCTTGTTCTCGCCAATGAAGTTTTCAATATTCTTCCTAATAAGCCTCAATGATTGCCTGGTGTCTTTCAGGAACATGTATCAAGATTCACCATTTGAAATCCCACAAAACAGACCACATAAACGCTGAACTGCCCCCGCCCCACTTGCCGTGACTTTCATTAGCTAGGCTTGTGACTTCCCCCTGGAAGTCACTGATTTGATTGGCACAAGTACCGAGAGAACATGTCTGCACTCATCTACTGATCAGAGTGTTGTGCTTTACTGGGAACAGACCTAGACATGTATGAACTAGAATTCTAGTAGCAATACTTTTCGACTCACCGTTTGTTATAGGCATGGCCCTGATTGCCCTTTGTTCTTAACTCTCTATTTAAGGATGCTTCTATGGAAAACAGAATCAGAAGGCAAGGCTAGTTCTGCCCTCAGGAGCATTGGGCAGGCTTGCCAATAGTCCTGAAAGACTGAATTTCGTTTTTTCCAGCAAAGGGTAGGTGTGCTAACTGTACAGTATATTAGAGATAATGTCTTCCTCAAGAATAGGTTTACTGCCCATTAGAAATGATTCTGTTTTCCTAAACTTATGCTCCCTTTTCTATAATGCAACCCACCCTATCCAGGTGCTTTCTGGCTCTCTTCATGTCTCCTTGTAGAACATGCTCAAGGAGCAGGTGCAAAAATGCTGGGGCTCTGCTACTGCTATTTCTGTGAGTAAGAAACTATTCTTTGTCTCTGTCTCAAGAGTCTCATGCCTTCCACTAGCATCCATGAAACCATGGCAGGCTAACTGGTAGGCTGGAGAGAAGATGACATCTCATATTCTTGATAGTCCTTGATGAGTTGCACAAGTGGCCACAGGTTCTTCACCTTACTGTACGCATCCCCTTTGGTACCAGTGAGTTGACTTCCACATCAACTTTAGGCTTGGTCCTGTGATGGACTGAGCCAGTGAAACATTAGTAAATGTCACTGAAGTAGAGGTTTGAAAAGTATTGTGCGTGAAGTTTTGCTCTTTTGCTGCTCTTAGGATCTAGGTTAAGGTGACCAGATTTAAAGCAGGACACCATTGACCAGGGGTGGTGGTGGTGGGGGGGGTTCTTGATTAAAAATTTGGTCTATATAGACCAAATAGACCGTTACCTAGCTTGTTGAGCATTCTTTCCAAAAATCGGGACTGTCCCGCCAAAAGCAGGACGTCTGGTCACCTTAAATTCTAGGTGCACATGAAGAAGCTGAGGCTAGCTTGTTGGATAATAAGAAACAAATGGTTCCATTTCAACTATTATCCAAACCAACAGACATGTGAACAAGGCCAATTTAAATCATCCAGCCCCCAGCCAATCCTTCAGTTAACTGCTGGTATAAGAGCGAATTCAACACTAATCAGCTGAGCTGGTCAGACAAGAATAACTTTCCAGTCTCTATGTTTTAGGGTGGTTTTCCATTCAGCAAAAGCTATTCAAAGCTAAAAGGCACAAGACAAAAATCACCACTAATGTAATATCTATAACAGAATCTCCGGGAGGGCTCAGTCTACAGCAGGTTAAATACGGAATCTCCAGCCCTCAGCACCGTGCCTAGAAGAATGGGCAGTGACAGCATTCAGTTTAGCTTTGGTGTTCCCTATGAGCAGTCTGTACACTAGTCACCTACTTCTCACCTCACAAGCAAGGTCTGAAATTAAAGTAACTATGTGAATCTAACGGGCTTCGTGGCTTAACTAAGTACAAGTTAGTCTCTGAGCAACAGATGTGTGGAATTCAGCTCTTCTACTTAACATCTGACAGACATTGGGCGAGCTATTTAAATATACTGCACTTCAGTTTCCTCATCTCCAAAATAAAAATAATAATGTTTACTTCGCTGACTTTATAACATAGGTATCATAAAGGAGGTACTCTCTATGCATAGCCTACCAGAATATGCAATGAAACCCCCTTAAGAATGGTGGTTTGTGTGCACATGGGGTCACCATGGGTTGGAACCAACTGAAAGAAAGAAAAACAACAGCAGCAACAACAGGGTCAGGTGCGAACAAAGGAAATATGCGTGCGTGCCCACACTCTCTCTCACACCTGCACACTGGTACAGAATCAGACCATTTCCGACCAGCACATGCAGAACCCAACAGGAAGAGATGAAGAGAGAAGCTAAGCGCCAAAAAGGCTCCACTGTGGTCGACAAGAAGACAGACTTGGTGTTATATAATGTGCACAAACCCCAAGTATATTTTTGTTTCAGAAACTTTCTGAATAATGTAAACTCTCAGGAAGATTACTACCTGACAGTGTGAGGGCGTGTAAAGTGTATCATTATATTAATGGAATGGAAAGGTCACTTTATAGATTTTTCTGCTTTCAGCTTAGTGGTTGAGAATTAAATTCTTGCTTTTTATTTTAGAAACAGACATTTCAAATGATTATCTTTATTTCCCTTCTAGCATTAGGTTTCTCACATTTTAAAAGGCTTTTTAAAAAAAGACTTTCTTTTCCGAATTGGCATCTTTGAAAACTCTGGCAACCGAGCAGAGTTAGTTGTTTTTCTTAAACATCAAAAATAAGCTTTTATTGGAAATATCCAAATCAAAATAATACATTGTTAAAAGGCCTCATTTAATTTTAGTACAATTTTTAAGCTTTGTGAAGAATTTTTTTCATCCATAATTTTATACTTATATTTAAATTTAAATTTTTTTACTATTTTATTTACTATTTAAATTTCAATTTTTTTACTACTTTATACCGTTTGACTTTAGTTATTATTTTATGACGAGTAGACTGAAACAACACCAAAATAGAATTTATTTAAGAATTAAACTAATATATACTCAGAAATTATTATTTCAAAAGATTCTAGTGAATAACTGTCAAAGATTGTTTTTCTTGTTTTCTTTTTCAAAAATTAATTAATTAATTTCTGACCGTTTCATCAGCATACAGTTCACACAGCATATAGTTCACTAGTCAGTCGCATTCATAAGAGTTGGCAAGCATCACCACTATCAATTCTAGACGATTTCTTTTTCTTGCTACCAGACCTTGTCTACATAGGTTTACCTAGCCTGGGTTTCGTATGCAGAAAAACATACAATATCAAAACAAAACACAATGTAGAATAAGAGTTTCTGGGGTGGGTACAGTGGTGGGAGGTGGGGGATGAAAGGAGCTGGTGTCAAGGAGTCAAGGAAAAAATGAATGTTTGGAAACCATGGTAGCAATTGTACAATACTGCTTGAGGTGATTGAACCATGGAATGATACAATATATGTATTAACTCACAATAAAAAATAAAGTAGAAAATATGAAAAACTGGAACCATTATACATTGAATCAAGAGTCTTATGTGCTTATAGAGGAAGACTAGCATTTTGTTAAAGTGTCAGACTTGGAAATTCAATTCTAGACCTCACACTTATATACCTTGTGGCTTTGGAAAAACTATTCAAACTTTGAGATTCAGTTTCCTTATTGTGAAGTGGCTATTTTAATACCATATGCTTTGGTTATGTTAAATGAGAGATGCATCACTTGAATCATAGTCAATGCTAAGGAAATTCAATTAATTAGATATAGCCATAATTTGCACCTTCAAAATGCAAGGATGAGACCTTGTAAAATTAGCCACAGGAAATCAAATGCCAAAGTTCTAGAGACAAGACAACACTGTCTTCTTCAACCACAAAGACACCATAAGCCGAACACAAAGATCCACCAAGATGTGATGACATGTTCATGATTGGGGTACAAAGAGAAAGGGTTAACTAAATAGCATGTGCGGGCAATGACATGTCAGAAATAGCATATAGATTTACAGATGCCCTAAAGGTTGGTGGTTCAAACCCAAACAGCAGCACCACAGATGAAACCCATCCTGACAATCTGGTTCTGTAATCATGAGAGCCAAGAACACCCTGTGGTCTTGTTTTACTTTTTCACACATGGGTCTCCATGGGTCAGCATGGACTGGCTCTTTTGTAGACTGTTCTATCCTCTCCAGAAACACTTGTCCCCAACCTACATGCCGCTATGGAGCACTGTAAGGCTATGTTTTCTTATGGTTGTAGAAGAGTCGCGGGCCCCTTGACTCAGCTACAAAGGAGGGGTTTGCTCTCCATTGAGGGACATCAAGAATGCAGCTTGAGGAAGGTACAAACAGGGAGGGCCCCACATCTCATTCTGCCCGAGATGAGAAACATAGCATCCCAACATTCACAATTCTGGGGACTCCTCCTGCCTGGCCTTTGGCCAAGCTCAGGAAGGACAGCTCAGGAAGCCTGGCCCCTCTTGGTTCACTGCTATCTTGAGAGACACACACTATCGCGACTCACCCTGAAGTAGTCGCTGCATGCTGCTAGGACTGCCTTGTGCGCATGGAATTTCTGTTCCTCGGCAATCAGGGTGACGTCGCAGAGGATGCCATCGCTTCTCTGCTGATTCAGTGCTGCCAGCACACTATCGTTGTGGGACTCGGAGTGGCAGAGCCTCTGGCCCGTCAGCATATCTTGAATACTGCAAAGGAGAGCAATCAAGTCAACAGCCTGACTTTCCATAGGCCTGAGTGACCTCCCTTTCTCTTCTCACCGCTTGGACACTGGCAGAGGGATTAGGATGGCACTGCACTATGTGAACCGCGGACTGTGATCACCCAAGTCCCACTCTCTCACCAGCTTCTTGCTTTCCATTGCCCTTATTCGATCCCTCTGCTCTGGGTGGTCTTGGTCCGGGTCCATCTCGCTTTCTGGTACCAATGCATCTCTTTGTAAGTTTGTGTTTGTGTTTCTGTCCATCTGTGTCTGTATATTGGTCCATGTCTGGGGTCCCTGTCCCCCAGTGTGTATACCTCGCTGTATATTTTCTTCTGGATATGTGCCTAAAGTGTGTGTGTGTGTGTGTGTGTGTGAGAATGTGACCTATGGCCTCCTCTCTAGGGTGCTGAGGCCTACCACTTGGTATTACATGCACGGGACTGGGGCAGGTTCACAATTTTTACAAGAGTTTCCATTGAATCCATTTTGACTCTATCTCTAGGCAGTCTTTAGAGTCAGTAAGTATCAAAGACCTTGAGAAACATAAACAATTTTTAATGCAATACTTGGAATCAAGATTAATAACCATCACTCAATTAAATGAGGAAGTAGACTAATAAGAGAAATACTTTATCAGCTGACGAGAGCTCAGGGATAGTCTTTTAAAAATCATTCCCAGAAGGTTGACATTTTTTACATATTAAACACATTGCACTTACTGTCTTCTATTAATTAATTAATTATAAGTGGTTTACAGTGATTAATCCATTAAATGTTCACAACAACCCAATAGGGAAGTACTATCCTTTATTGATAAGATAATTAAAGAAACATCATGAGAAACACAATAATGTTATTCCACTTCTTGATTTAAAAAATCAAAAGGCAATATGTAAAGGTCTCAAAAGTACAGAGTGGAAAAAGATCACCCCCCAAAATCTACTAATTGGATGGTTCCGTTATACACAATCTCAAATCCAAGTTACCGCTTAGAAAAATACACAGGAGCATAGCATGAGACAGTGAAAAAGCATGTTTAAAATCTCAATTCTAAAACATTTATCGTCACACTGAGAGTAAGACACATTTCAGAATAAAATATCAATTTTAACCTTAGAAAATTTATTTGTAACATCTTTTCTCCCCCTTTATTACCAAGTCAAAGGCTAAATACATTTTGAAATCTCATTTTTAATGGAAAAGATGAATATAGTGAAATCATTACCTAAAAATGTTTCCTTACTCATTTTCCAAATATAGTGCCATGATTCCCATCGTTGTGCCTAAGACAGGATCAGTAAAAATGCATCGAGACATCGATCGACAGTGTATACATCTCGGCAGGGAAAGAGCAGCTGTAAACTAAAATCTGGCAGAGAACCGAGGGTTCTGCTCTGAAACAATTCTGATGCCGCACAATTTCACAGGATCACTCAGCTGGGCCTAAAACACTCGTGCTTAAAGAAAACAGCATGCTAGATATTTAAGACAACACTTGGCACAAGATTCTAAGTATTTTGGAACCAATATGTTAGGAATCCTTAGAAGCAGAAACAAATACCCTGACATTTGGCAAGAAATAAAGGCCTCCTAATCAACAAGTCATTATTGCATTTGAAAGTAGCTTCCCACTCAGCTCTCTGATAGAAATCTACAGAGGATCACAGCCTGTCCACCCTCAGGCACATATGGCCACACACCACCATCGGAAGGTTACCGACCCATTTGTGAAGTCAACAATCCGAAACCTAAAAAGATGCAAACCCAAAACCACAATGAAACCATTTCTAAATTAAGATGGGAACAAACACATGCTTGCCAACAACTCCTTCGGCATCTATGATTTATAGCAAATTAGCACACCAGACTTCCAACTTAGGGCACTGCCCTGCCATTATTTGGGAAACAAAGAGGAGAGAAGGCAAACCAAACTCCTAAAACTTCCTGAACAACATCATCATCAAAAGAGGCCTAAAGCAGGAGCCGGACTTCCTCAGAGAACATTCGAAAATCAGGACAAGTCTTCAACATAAGCAATTTTTACAAGAGTTTCCATTGAATCTGTTTTGACTCATGGCGACCCCCAAGTATGGAGAACGGTGCTGTATCGCATTTTCACAGTCTGATTTTTCAGAAATTGCTCATCCGGCTTTTCATCCAACGTACTTCTGGGTGGACTTGAACCTCCAGACTTATGCTTACACCTGAAGGTGCTATTTCAAAATGTGTAGGTACATGGCTGGTTTATTTAAGCAGTTCTGCTCAGCCTGTGGTGCAGCTGGCTGGCACGCCACAGTTCAGTACATCACCACCTTACGATGATCCCAGGGCTTCCCAGGAAGGGCCACGAGGCAATCAGTAAGCATAATTAGACACTGTTGGCTGAGGAATATCAGAAGTGTCATCATGGTGCAAAGGGAAAAACTTCATCAGGGGCTGGTGATATAAGTCGTTCTCACGGGAAAGTACGTGCAGGGGCTTATTTCCACAAGGAGGGAGTCACAGTGGTGCTGCCGGGTAAGCCTTAGGCTGCTAACCACAAGGTTGTCAGTTGAAACCCACCCGTCGCTCAGAGGAAGGAAGTTGAGGCTGTCTTCTCTGCTAACGATTTCCAGCCTGGGAACCCTTTATGAGTTCGCTCTTCTAATGTAGTAGCAGGACGTAGTGGCTCTATCACTAAGCAGTCTTTCCAAGTCAGCAAGTAAAAATGCCTTTGAGAAGCAGTGAGTTGGGGGTTGAGTTTTATGGTTTGCAGTGGGATCCCTAAATCTCTTTTGAGCATCCATAAGCAGGATGACCACCATTCAGTTCTTTCTGAGCAGTAATCAGCAATGTAAAAAGCTTGGCCCTCAGCATTTCAAAGTAAATTGCTGGTGTCCCTGGCCAGTCTAGAGAGGGAGCAGGCTTGCCCTCAGAGACTTGCCTGCAGTGCCCCTGATGGAAACTGGGGTCCTAGGAGTCTGTGGCTGTGGTCAGAGAGGCTCAGAACCAATGTTCTGAACTTTTCTCATCTTTGAAATTAAGTCTCTTTTTCCCCCCTAAATTACATTGCATCTACTGGACAACTCTAGTCTACAAGTGCCCAGAAAGATGCGTACCTCTATTTCTCTCTACCTGGACTCTCTTAAGGGCTTCAAGTGAACCCAGATGCGGGTAGCTATGCCTCCATCTCCCGATGCCAAGCCTCCTTCTCTGGTGCAAGAGTGGGTGGCCCTAGACTCCCTGAGTAGACAAATCACTTCTCCAAGAGGCCAGGGGCGTCACCATTGGATTGCCATAATGCCATATCCTTTGTATGTCAGGGGAGAGGAATTAATCAGGTCCTAGAGAAAAGGATGATTTAGAACTCCAAGCCCTTTACTAACTTTCTGGAACTGATTGTTCAAACTAATACAGTCAGTGCAGAGCATGGTGCTTATGACCTTGCAAGCCCTTCTTACAGTGAAGCACTGCTTCAGTACACATCGCTACTCTGAGAGCACAAACATTTAAGATGACAGAAAACCTAGGGTCTCACTTTCACAGAATAAATGTTAGTTGCGTTCAGGCAGCTTTTAAGAAGTAAATTCCAAAAGGGATGCATGACTATAAACATCTTTATTTTAAATTGAAAAGTTCACAGTCTATATCTGTGTACTTCATTCTTAGATCTACAAAATATGCACTCACTGCCAAGGAGTCAATGCCAACTCATAGCGACCCAATAGGACAGGGTAGCACTGTCCCTGTGGGTTTCCCAGACTGCAACTCTTTATGGAAGTAGAAATCACTATCTTTCTTCTTCGAAGTGGCTGGTGGTTTTGAAATTCTGACCTTGCAGTTAGGAGCCCAACTCATCACCACTATACCACCAGGGCTCCATCAATTATAGCATTATGTATTTTTATGACATCCAAAACAGTTGAGAATCTTTCTTCCTTTCTTCTTTCTTTCCTTCTTCCCTTCCTTCCCTGCTTCCCCTCCTTTCCTTTCTGGCTTTCTATCTCAACCAAATCCCAAACCCACTGCCATGGTGTTCATTCTGAGTGAACAGTCCTATAGGGCAGTGGTTTTCAACCTTCCTAATGCCAAAACCCTTTAATACAGTTCCTCAGGTTGGGGCCACCCCTCCAACCATACAATTATTTTTGTTGTTACTTCATCAATGTCATTTTGCTACTGTTATGAATCGGGCAACCCCAAAAGTGGCTGCGACTCACAGGTTGGATAGATAGCCTCCTCTTTCTCCAGGAGAGCTGCTGGTAGGTTTGAAACACCAACTCTTCCGTTAGCAGTCCAATGCCTACCCAACAGTGCCAACAGAGCTCCTACCACCATAACAGTGGGACTTAAATCAACAAAATGGAAGAAGGGGTCCTGGCAGAAGGAAAATGACTAATTTAGTGAACTCAGAAGTAGAGTAACTACCAGGCATGACGAGGTTCAATGTGCGGCCATCCATGGGAGTGGGTGGCTGAGCAGATGGAGACGGAGGTTTTTTAATTGGAAAGTTCAATATCCAAGAACCTTGGCATCGAGCAGCTTCTCCCTGTGGCTCCTACGGGCTCCCTTGGACATTTCAGAGGTTTCAATGAGGAGAAATCTGGTAAGCCAGGTGGCCCAATGCTTGGTGATTGAGGGAAAGGGGCGCTGACAAGCAACATGGGGAGAAGGATGACAGAGGTGATGGGTACAGCCTTCGGAAAAGCATGATTTTGACATTACTCTCAATAATGACATGACAAATAATGATATAGAAATAAAACTATTTCCCAGGGGACAATGACCCCTTTATTTATCCCTGAAATCCATGAAGTGTGAGGAAATAATCAGGCCATCACTGAGAGGGCCACAAGAGAAGTGGTGCCTGGAGGTGGGGCGCTGGAAAGTGAGCAGAGCTGTAGGAGGTGACAGGGGAGCATCTGTCAGGACACAGCAATTACCGAGGGCAGTCAGAGGGCCTGGGTGGTGCGGAGGCAGCGGAAGAGTTGGGGCTTGCTGGCAGCTAGACAGAGAAGGAAATATCATTATGGAGATCAGGGCGCCGTGGAGGGCACATGGGGGTAGAATATGGGTTGGCTAATCAAAATGGGAATGATAGATTTTAAGTAAAAACTCATTTTGAGGTGAATGCATATTGATCCTGGAACTCAGGAATTTTGTTTCACCTGACTGGGGTGGAGACAGCCCAGCTCCATGATCTCCCTGCTGCATGGATTGACAGATAGATTCAGAACAAGGTACCTCAGCCTCAGCACCATCCACGAGTGGAGCCATATCATTAGTTGTTGTGGGACTGTCCTGTGTATTATAGCATGTTGAACAGGATCTCTGGCTCTGTTCTCTACCCACTAGATGAGGATCTCGCTCTTTACCATTAGCCTACCTTGCCAATGGCAACCAAGTGTTTCTAGACATTGCCAAATGTCTAGGTCAGGGGTCCTCAAACTATGGCCTGCAGGCCACATGCGGCTTGCTGAGGACATTTATCCGGCCCACCAGGTGTTTTTGCCCTATTTTGTTTTATACTTCAAAATAAGATATGTGCAGTGTGCATAGGAATTTGTTCATAGTTTTTTTTTAAACTATAGTCTGGCCTTCCAATGGGTCTGAAGGACAGTGAACTGCCCCCCTGTTTAAAAAGTTTGAGGATCCCTGGTTTAGATTGTGGAGAACCATTCATCTACAGCATCAGACTCACAGAAGGAATGCAGAGACGTCACACTTGTAGCCATGGAAAGTTCACACATTGATGAACTAGTTACGCTGACCACAGGAGCCCTGGTGGTGCTTCAGGTTAAACATTGGGCTGCTAGCTTCAAGGTTCCAGGTTCAAATCTACTAGCCAGTCCAAGAGAAAGCTGAGGCTGTATGCTCCTATAAATATTTATAGTATCTGAGCCCCCATGAAGTAGATCTACTCTGTCCTATAGCCATCTCCGAGTTGACTTACTGGAAGTGGTTTTGGGGGAAGTTTGATTTACTTCTGACAGATGCAGCATCATGGGAGAAAACCACTCAGGCATTAACCATCGTCGTCAGTTGCCATCAAGTCGGTCCACAGCTCCTGGCAAGCTCATATACAATGGGGGCAGCTCATTACAACCCGCAGGGGTTTTTCATGGTCTGGTTTTCAGAAGTAGATTGCAGGCCTTCCTTCCCAGTCTTGCAGACATTCTGAGTCCGGAAGCTCTACTGAACCCTGTTCGGTATCCTACTAACCTAGCAATACGTTATGGAGCCCGGTGGTATGGTTACACATTGGGCTGCTAACCACAAGGTCAGCAATTCAAAACTGCCAGCCACTCTGCTGGAGAAAAATGGGGCTTTCTACTCTCCCAGAAAGAGTTATAGTCATGGAAACTCACAGGGTAGCTATAAGTAACTATGAGTCAGAATCAACCATGAGTCAGAATTAAGTGTACTTTGGTTCTTATATACACATACACACATATTCCCAAGTTTGTCACCTCTTGTATTCTTGGGCCTGGAATTTCTTTGCCAAAACAAATCCAGCTGAGGAAAATAATGAAGCTTTGCCTCCACTGAGGATAGGCAAAGGGAAGCCCTGCATTTTCTCCTCAGCTGCCTGGGCTGATCTTTGGACTATGCCACCCTCCTACTCGCCTCCTGGCCTTTCCCAGGCCAGGCCTTCCTTTAGACCTCGGGTTAGAGAGCACTTACTTCTTCAGGAAAGCCCGTCCTCACTGTACCCAGCCTTACTTTTCCTTCAAAGCATTTCTCACAATTATGTTGGCATTGTTACTGGTATGATTACTTGCATAATATCTTACGGCAGTTATATAGTCTACTGTCCACTTGAGCGAAGGGGTAGAGTTTAACCTGTCAATCAGGTCATAGCCAATGAGGCCTGTGGGTGGACATGGCCTTCTCCTGAGGATTCTGGGAACTCCTTTCTTCCTCCTGGGAGATGGGACACACACTTTCCCTGGGAGACATTCCTGTTGACAAGCCACATGGAGCTACACCGATGGAGCCAGAGCTGGAGGAGCCACATGGAGACCCATGCCAGTGCTGAGATGTTTCCATCACCACTAGATCCACTAGATTTTCCACCAACTGGCCTGTGATCTTTCTGCATTCAGCATCATTGCATGTGTTGTATGAGTCTGAAGAGGAATTTATAGACTGGCATCAGACATCTGGGCTAATATCGGACTTATAGACTTGATCTGGACTGGGCTGGGATTTTTTTTATTAAAAAATTACTCTTTATACAAAGCTCTTTCTTAAACATATATGAATGTTCCTGGATTTGTTTCTCTAGTCAACCCAGACTCACACACCTGCTTCTCACATAGCACAGGTGTTTTACGAGGGCCTGGGCCTTCTCTGTTTCCTTCACTGCTGTAGCCCCAGCAACTAGCTGAGTGCTGGGCTCAATAAATATTTGCCCCAAAAACATTCAGTATGAAAAGAAAGCGTTAGGAACATTTTGATAACAACTGATTGCATTAAGAAGGGCAATATCCACATGTTCTTTTATGACTTTCTGATTCAGTTTTGAAAGATGCACTTTCATAATGGTGTACATTTCCTCAGAGGAAGGATGACCACCTAAATAAGATTTTTTTAAAAAAGGAAAAGAAAAGCAGTATCATACAAAGAAGCACAAAAGTTATCTAGGTTTGAGACGTTACTAGGTCACAGCATGCAACTGTACTCAATTGACAGCTGCACTCCCTGGCTTACTGGATTCATTCACACGTTCGTCGAGCCCCTCTGTACTCGGCAGTATGCAGTGGGACTATTTCTGGAACCTCAACACCAGGCCAGGCTGTATCCTAAAGGATGTATCTACCTGAGGCAGCGTTCAGACGGCATTCTCCAGCTGGGCTCCTTGGAGTCTTGGCCTTAGAAGTTTACAGAGGAGTCAGAAAGCATTCCAGCTGCATAAGAAGACAAGAAGAAAGAAATGCACGCTGAGCCAATTGCCATACAAAAAATTACACACTTGGCCTCATGTTCCCATATGCTTTCAGAATCCCTAGGAGGTGCTCTGTACAGCAGTGGTTCTCAAACTGTGGGCCGCGACCCCTTTCAGGGGGTGGTGGTGGTGGGTGGGGGTGTCAAACGACCCCTTCACAGGGGTTGCCAGATTCATAACAAAAGCAAAATCATAGTGATGAAGTAGCAACAAAAATAATTTCATGGTTAAGGGGTCACCACAACACGAGGAACTGTATTAAAGGGTCAATTAGGAAGGCTGAGAACCACTGTTATAGTTTTCTGGCCCAGATATAACATTCTGACTCCAGGTTCTTTCCCCAAGCAACAGTTCTGAATATTTTAAAGTGTCTCCATTTTTTCACACTATTTATTGCAGCTTCAGGGACCAGGAAGTAGGATGAGCTTCAGAATCAACAACAGCTAATTAGAGACCAAAATCGAAATGAAAGCACCAGATGGCCCAGAGGAAAAATTAAGCTCTGATAAAATGAAACTCCAAAGGTCTAAGCCACAAGTAGCTGACTGGTCCTTTCTGGAGATTTTTTTACTTCCCTTCTGAATGTGAATGTTAATGAAACTAAGTTATAAACAATTATCCTCTTGGAAAATATCTTGACAGATGACTTTCTATTCAAGAAGATTTCCAAAACTTAGACAAGAAAAACAATGTACACAGAGAAGGAAATTTGGTAGGAAAACGTTCTTCTAGGAGCTTCAGAATCAGTATAACTGAAAACATATTACAGATGGCATTGCCAGGTTAGACCATGCTCCTTAGTTATATATTTCTTTAACCTCCCCATCCTTTTGTGTTTAGTGGAACTCTAAATAGAAAGCAAGTTATCTCAATATTCTGGGACCTGGTCCATGGCTATGGTTGACAACTGTCACTGAACCTATCTTCCATTTTCTAATACACTCAAGAGGCAAAATTCAATGTAGTCTAGACAATCCAGCAGGCTCCCTTTAGTCTAAGTTTCATTTGAAAAGCATTAACTTAGGATGAAAATTTTTCTATAGAGACTATGTTCAGCTGTCCTTGTTTCAGTTGATTTGCATAAAAGGGAACTAGGATTTACAATCCAAAAGATAGTATTCGCTGCATTGCATACAAACCCTCAATTTCGATACTTTTAAAATAGTTCATGCACAATTGTCATAATTTAAGTAGTCCACTATTATTGGAACACCGATTTGTTTCTAATATTTTAATACAATTAAATTTTGCTCATGTTTTAGTCTTATTATTGAAAATAATAAGATGGTTATACTTTCATTGATTTCTGATTTAAGTTTTGCCAAATTTTGCCAAATCTAAAACTGAGCACCATTTTTAATGATCTTTTATGACTGAGCAGTGCAGACAAACTGAAGGCACATTGATGTGTAATTAGCCAAAAGACATGCTTAGCACCACATTCTAGAGACTTTCTATAGTTTCCTTGCAGAATCTGAGTTTATAAACTGCAGGCTCTTAGGGGCTAACATTAACACTAAAAGAAATGGACACTTGAGCTTTAAAATTACAAAGAATAACCTTAACCTTTTAGGTTTATATTTTGGAAGCTTTCCCAACCATTAGGTGAATGGAGAAGAATTCCAAAAGTTAAAATAAAGGACACACATTTAACCTGATTCTCCACCCCACCTCACCCTCAGACATTTCAAACAGGATAATTAAAAGTCCTAAATGGGTTAAACTGCTTCTATAGATGTTTGTTTAAAGCCCTGCTCACTTGATTCACTCTCTTCCCAAGAGCTCTAATCATAATCTGCTATAAAGGAGAGGTCCTGCTGGCCTAGAGAGTTATAAGCTGGTTTGCTAACCACAAGGTCAGAAGTTCAAACTTACATGTAAACTCACAAGGGCAGTTCTACCTTGCCCTAGAAGGTCGCTATAAATGAGACTTGGCAGTGAGTTAATCTTGGCAGCTCAATAGCTAAGCACGTGGCTACTAACTGAAAGGCTGCTTTGAACTTAGGGGAGAAATGTGGCAACCCTTCCTTAGAAACCCTGGTACTGCCTGGGATACAGACACCTTCCAAGCCTAAGGCTCCTTCCTCTTCCCAGGAGTCCTGAAAACACCCCAGTCAGGCTCCCATCCTTTTCTCTCTGCACAATTCAGGAATAGGTTCAGGCTGGGCCAGCTTGCTGTGTAGCTAGGAAGACAGAATGGTGTTGCTCTGCAGGTATATCTTGCTCACACACCACTAGAAGCAAAACCACACTGGGCATTGCAGGGAAGAAACCCTGAGACAAATATTAAGAGCTCCACTGCTAAGCAAACGGTCAGTGGTTCAAAGCCACCAGTAGCTCTGCAGGAGAAAAGAACTGGCAATCAGCTCCTATAAAGATGACAGCCTTGGAAACCCTATGGGATCGTTCTACTCCATTGCATCTCTATGCATTAAAATAGGCTCCTTGCCACAGAACAACCAC